GCCGGGAGAGAGGGGTGGGCGGGAGCCATGGCTGTAGAAGTGTCCGAACTCTCCTCCGTGGGGCTGGTTATCCTGAGCCCCCCACCCCCGGCCGACAGCAGCCAGCAGGATCTCAGCCCCACATTCGAGGGACAGGGACCTTTCCCGGGGAGGGAGGAGTTGCCAACTGTGCTGTTACCAGGGTCGCGGAGCCCGTGTTTCTGCCAACCCCGGCATTTCTTCTGTGTCTCAGCCCCTTAAAAATTAACCAGCGGGGCTCAGGAAATGAGATATTTATGAGTCTCTGTAATGCAGGGGGAAGGTGCCCAGGTGCAAACAAACCTGTTTGAGGGGGACACTCAGAGTACCAGTTCAGGGCGTGTTGCTTAGAAACGGGGCAGCCACAGTCTCAAACTGGGTGTCCCTCGCTTACATGGTCCCCCCTAAGCAGTCCAGAAGAGCTCTCTTGTTTCACAACCCTGGCTAACCAGGTGCCTTACAAGCAATTCCCTCAGGCACTCCAGTTCCCCTGGATCTCCACCCCTCGCCCTCCGTACCGGGGTGGGTAGTTCTGAAACCAGTAGCCCCACATAAAGGTTCTTCTGATCCCAAAGGATCAGCCCCATTCCCAGGTCAATGTAGATCCCTCAGCTCTCACCCCAGAATCACACTGTGGCCCGTCCCTTAGTATCAAGAATGGAAAGTTTTATTCATAAAAGAAAGGAAGAGGGGGAGAGCTAGAATTGTTGAAGGAATCCCTTGGGTGCGTCTAGACTATATTCCTCTTAGGAAAGAGAAATGCAAATGAGGGAAATCGAAAATGCAAACGAAGCGCTGATTTACAAATCTCACGCTTCATTTGCATAACCTCTTCCAATCGCTTTTTCCAGTTTCTTTCGAAAATGGTTTTTTTTTTTTTTTTTTTTTTTTAAAGAACCCTGTCTAGGCTCATTTTCGAAAGAAACTGGAAAAAGCGATTGGAAGAGGTTATGCAAATGAAGCGTGAGATTTGTAAATCAGCACTTCATTTGCATTTTTGATTTCCCTCATTTGCATTCCTCTTTCGAAAGAGGAATGTAGTCTAGACTCACCCTACAGCCACCAGTTGCAGAGTTCTTGGTTCAGGCTGGTCACAGCACTGGAACCAACAGCAGCTTAAGTCCAGGCTCCGGCTATTTCCAAATCATTGGTAGGCCCTTGGTCCCTTTGTTGGAACGCTCCTCGTGCTGGGAGGCCAGAGGCTGGGCAGTAGAGAGGCTGGCGCAGAAAAGAGATAAAATGGTGGGTTGCCGGGGCCTTGTCTCGCTTCCCCCACGCAGAGCGGCTCCTGCTGGTCTTGCTGTGGAAAAGTACAGCAACAAGAGGGCGTCCAGCCCCATGGGCAGACCCCCAGTCCAGGCAGGACTCAGTTCTTTGCAGGGGGGATGCCACTGCCCCCAGGCTAGTCTGAACGTTCCCAGGAAGGTGCCTCGGGTGTGGATTGGTGTCTGCCGAGGCCTATTGCCAGTCACGTGCTTCTAGGCAACACGTGGGCCAGCCCCCTGTGGGCGTTCCCAGCTGCAAGCATTTGAAAGCAGGGGTAGAGCCAACACTGGTCCGCTCACATACAGAAATGATCCACGCCCACAAGTAGCATCATCCTAACCAGCAAGCGATAGCCTGCCCCGGGACGCCTCGCTCGGCCCCTGGTGCGCAAGCTGTGCTGCAAACACAGAGCCGGGGTTGCAATGGTAATTGCGATGCTCATTTTCAATCGGACGACGTCACACCGGGAAGGCGTGTTAACATACGTGGCGCTGTCACACCAGCACAAGCAGGCAGGTACGTGGGCTGGGTACAGCCCAGCTGAGAGGGCAGGCGGGGCACAGTCCCGCAGGCAGGTGTGCACATGCATGGCATCCGTGGGGATGGGGACACGCCTGGTGAATGGCTCTGGTCAGCACAGGGCAGAATTCAGCCCTCAGAATCTTTCCTCCCAGGTCTCCTAGAGGAGGCAGGAATAACCCAGCTTGACTCTCCGCTCCCCGGCAGGCTTTGAAGCCTGTCACAGGTGCCAGTTGCTCATGTCTGAGGCGAGCGCTGCATCAACGCAGGCCATGTGCCGCCGGCTGCGCGTCCCTTCTCGGAGCAGCCCTGCAGGTTAAGGATGATATCTGCCCCAGGATGCTTGGTGCAAGCAGTTGCCATGGCAACCTAGGTTCCCTCCTGCCTTGGTTGGACCACCCTGCTCCGGCTCCCTGGTCTGTCCCCGATTCCAGGCCTGCTTAGAGCTGATTGCTATGGCAACGCCTCATGTATCCGGCCAGCGTTCGCCTGTCTGCGCTCTACCGGCGGGAGGTTGATTCCACCATCCTGAGCATGGAGCAGGCAGCGGGCCCTGCCTGGAGAGGTGCCAGGAGGTGGCTGTGAGGGTCAGTGCTGTGCCATTTGAAAACACGCTCTTGCCATTTCTGCCTCCTAGGCCACAGGGCGGCTCCCCTGGGAGTTACTCTTGGGGCCCAGTTTGCAAGGAATCCTCAGGATTTGTAGTTCTGCGCCTGCACCGGGGTGGGGTTAGCGAGAGGGAGGAGTCAGTCCTGGAAAGGCCCCGCCTCGCTGATGGCACGTGCTCAGGCTCTCGTGGGATCGAGGCCCAGGGCTGGGGGCCTGTGTAATATAACGGGTTTCTGGATTTATATCTCAGATCTTGCCCAAACTGGCACGCTGGGCCAGTCCCTTCCAATCGAACATCTAAACGCCTATTGATGAAGGAAAGAAAGAAAACGTTGAGAGTAAAATTGTTAAAGAAACCAAATTCCACACCCTGGTTACAAAGCTCCTGGGGCCGGCTTGTAGCAGAGATGGGATCTTCTGCTGGTTTATAAGTCTCTGGATGCATCCTTTGTTAGGAAGGGTCATCAGTCCTTCTGGGCTTCGTTCATAGCAAAGATGCTCCTGAAGTGATGAGCTGGAGTGAGGACAAATGGAGGAATCTCTAGGGTTGTGTGGAAAAAGGCAGCTGCTTTTGTGGAAAAACTTGCCAGCTGTCTACACTGGCCACTTGAATTTCTGCAAGAACACTGGCTTCCTACTGTCTGAAATCAGTGCTTCTTGCGGAAAAACTATGCTGTTCCCGTTCAGGCAAAAGTCCTTTTGCGCAAAGCTTTTGTGCAAAAGGGCCAGTGTAGACAACTCAGATTTGCTTTGCGCAAAAAAGCCCCGATGGTGAAAATGGCGATCGGGTCTTTTTTGCGCAAAAGCGCGTCTAGATTGGGCGCGGATGCTTTTGCGGAAAAGCGTCCGTGCCAATCTAGACGCTCTTTTCCGCAAATGCTTTTAACGGAAAACTTTTCCGTTAAAAGCATTTGTGGAAAATCATGCCAGTCTAGATGTAGCCTAGGGGCCTTTATACAGCCGTGGCCATGTGGAAGGAGTCCCTCTGTTCTCACTGTCACCGGTCCATGCATGACTTAGTTCTTGTTTAGGCAAGCAGCCGCGGCGGCCATGCTGGTCTGCAGGCTCTCAGCAAAATTCCTGCGACGTGGACGGGCACCACGTAGAGTCCATTGTCAGTCAAGTCCTCCGATTGACTTGAGTAGCCACCCTTGCACAGCAGGTGGGCAAAGCCTGCTGATAGCTCCCAGAATACCAAGACGGGGCCAGTGCTCATAACTTGGAAACCAAAAATCGCACAGGCGCAGGCGTAGCGTAAACCGAATCGGCCGAGCGCCAGCTTTCAGTGGACACCTCACTGGGCGCACGTTGTACAAAACTTGGGGCAAACATACAACAGTGGGTGCAACCGTGTTCTGCATGGTCACATCAAACATCCAATGGCGTCACCGCCTGCTTGGCTTGGTCGCCCACAGCCCTGGGAGAGCCGGTCTGGTGCTGACCTCCAAACAGATCCAGAGCGGGAAGGTTTTAGAGCCACTGGTGCTGCAGACAGCGCCATTAAGTGAGGCCTTACTGAGAGGGGGTGTTTGCAGGATGCCTCCCCAGGAACAGGGCCGGCTCATCTCAACCCCCCTCTTTTAAAAATCCCCGTCACAGCTTGGAATGGTTTCTCCTGCTTTCTGACAGCCTGCGTTATCTTCTTTTGCAGTGCCCACCTTGCCCCCAGAGCGCTCTGCACACAAACGTAAGTTACGGGGCTGCTGCTTCTCCGAGCTTTCCGGTGGGCTTTGGGCTCAGGCGGCGGGGCCATGTCAGGGCAGCTGTCTTACGGCAGTATCTAGCGGCAAAAGGAGTGCCCTTTCTTGTTCTCCCATGCCTTTACCCACACGATAGTTATGGAGATAGGAAGCATGTCCCAGTGCATAGGGCACTAGCCTAGTATTTCAGAGAGCTTCCTGCTCTGCTACAGACTCTCTGCATGACCTTGGGGAAGTCACTTTGCCTCTCCATGCCTCGAGCCCCCACGTGCACAGTGCAGCTGCCCTGCCTTGTGGAAGTGACTAGAGCTATCCCCAGATGAGAGAGGGGGAGCTGGCCCAGATGTCTGGGTCGGTCTTGGTGCCAGCGGTGGGATCTTAGGTGCGTGGCAGGGTGGTGAGAACACAGAGCCAACACTCTGCAATTCTGGTGGAGTTTTGCTACTCTAGGGCAGCGTGCTGGCCGGCGGATTCTGTTCGTCGCCTGGTAACACGGAAAATCTGCCGGAGCCAAGGCGGACGGGAGGCTCGGGAAGGCAATGCCCAACCCCAGGCTGCTAGGTGCAGGGCTAGTGTTGCTTCCAAGGGGTTCACGTCTCTAGGACTGAGGCAGGAGAAAATGGCCCCTGTGGCCTGAGGTTTGCACAGCGCCAGGGCTTGGAGCAGCCTCTGGGGC